GACTAAAAAAAGGATTAGTTCAACCTGATTCACTTTTTGGTAAGTAAAAAATTTTGTAATTTGGTTCTACTCACCATAGGTTGGTGATGTGGGTTAGCTTACTTACGAATATTATATTTTTTGTAATTTATATAATAAAAATGAATTAACTCGATTCATTTTTTATAGTAGTAGAATGAAACGTTCACATAATTATCTGAATATTATATAAATACAGTAATTAAAAATTAGAACACTTTGACAAATAAATAAACGAGTTAAATATGTTTTAATAACTAAACTTTGATATAAAATTATAACTTTTTTTTTATCTCAAATTTGGATACATTTTGATTCTTAAAATTTAAAAATAAATAAATATAATTATTTTAACTAAATTGCATTAACATGTCAAACACGTTACAAGCTAAAATTTAAATTTATTTTACAATATTTGACATGTTTTTGCTTCTAGTGTCAACCAAAAATATCATTTAACAAACCTAACAAAATTAATATCATTAAATTAAAAAAATATATTAATTCACTTTGAAATTTAGAAACTAAAATATATTAAAATTTAAGAAAATTCCAATTTATGTCCAAATTTAACAACTAAAACCATATTTAATCTTAAATTTAACAACTAAAACCATATTTAATCTTAAATAAATTAAGTATTAAACATTGAAACTATTAAAATATTATTAAATAACACATACCAATATTTAAAAAAGATCTTGTAAATCTATAAAATTAAAATTAATAAAATTATAATAAAAAATCTTACAAAAGAATAATAATAAAATTAATAGAATGTTATTGTTAATGAGATACGGATCAACTTACTTTTAATTAATCAAATGGTAAACCTATATAATTAAAATTATAAATAATTATAATAAAAAACTTATAAAAATAATAAAAAAATTAATAAAATGTTATTGTTAATGAGCCACCGATCAACTTATTTTAATTTGATTTGAACTCATTTAATATGATCAATTTACTTGAACTCATTTAAACTCATTTAATAAGTTAAGTAAATCAAGATTAATTTAATTCATATTTAAAAAAATTAAAAATTTTCAATCTAACTCAATTTCAATCCTGATGAGTTAGGTTAACTCTATTAAATAGATTTAATAGATTACCCTTGTTGACCTGAGCATGGGTAACATAAGTAGAAGTATAACAAAATGACATTTTTGGAAAATCATAATATATTATCTGATATAACATGTTGATTATGCTGTTTCGTGGAGCTGCTGTACATTGAACAATGTTGTAACTGTGTTATATAATTATATAATATAAAATATTAATAATACAAAAGCTTAATTAGCTTTTAATAAAACTTATTTGATATGGATATTCCGAAAGATGTCAATAATATATATATATATTAAATATCTTCTATGTTTTTAGTGTTATAGTGTGATGAAAAAAACAATCTTGTATTTAATATTTGAGGTAACTTAAGAATATTTTGGGTCCATATGCAAACTCAATAATAAATTTTGGATCTACATTGGAAAGAAGTAAAAGCTATACCATAGAGTTTTGTTTATTTTGTATATAAACCCGTTTTTTCATATATTTTATAATAAGCTAGACCATTGAAGCTTTGAACTGTTGCTTAGACTCTTAAGACTTTCATCCTTTTTCTCGAATTTTGAGACATTATAAAATCTAACCACAAAAAAAGAATAAAAAATAATTTGTTTTGTCTTCTCACCAGCCATATTTTGTATCTAAAAATTCAAACGTCCCTGACAGCATGAAAGGGGTAAGGATAAAGATGTAATTTTAAATTTATCTCAGACTTATTTAATAATAAATCAAAGGCCTACGCCTATAATCCACTACCATTTTGAAAAGTAAATTATATTTATTAATAATAAATGGTTTTTTTTTTAAATTGAAATAATATTAATCATTATTATTGTTTAAAAGAATAGTCATTTCCGTTACAAAAGGTTCATTTTTTGAAACAATAATCCCTTATTCTTTTCTTAGTTATTTCTATTTTTTTGCCACGGGAGAGGATATTCATCCAGTAATTGTAGATGGAATTAAGTAACCAGAAAATTCAAAGGTGTGAATATCAGTTGAACTACAAGCTTGAAATGGAACCACTTTACAGCATAACCAATATTTAATCTATCAACCTTGGCGTGTAATAATTAACCTATACTTAAGTTTAAACTTCCTTCTATTTGCAATGAATGATCAATTTTTTAGCAACTAATTTAATCCCTGCATTCTGCTGATAGTCATAGGGATCTAAAGAGAAGAAGGCATCAACAAATGTCCCAGGCATGAACAAGGAACCAAGTTCTGCAGCATCAAACTTACTGAAGAGAAGTCTTTGCACTGCTCCAGAAGACTCTTTCTGATATATTTCTGTGGCATAAATGGCCACGTCTGCGACTACAGCTGTAGGTATGCTGTAAAATAAATGTTACAGAAATCAGATAAATTCTAATTGAGAGTAATACTAATTGTTTGGCAATTAGGATCATCAAAGCAAAAGATTTGGATAAAAAAATTCTCTGTTCACAGTTGATGGTATTCTCGAAGTTACCCCTATTTCATGATTTTAACAACTTAATGTCATCCCTTCATTATCAGTATATAAACCATAAAAACAAATGGGCTCCCCAGTACATAAGGTTCCCACCAAGTGGAATCTAGGGAAAGCAGATGTACACAGGCTTACCCTGGCAAACAGGGAAGTTGCTTCCAAGGTTTGAACCCATGACCCCAGTCGCCAGGTTACATCGCTGTAACCTTACAGTTTCGCCAGGGTTCACTCTCAGCACAAAAATAATAAAAGCATAATCTAAAGATTTTAAAAAACCAGGAAAATGGACACAGACCCCATCTGACACGGTGGTCATGTTAAACTGAATGCCCGGTTTTGAGATTAGAGTTTTCCACCATTTTACATGTGAAGTGAGGCAGTCATTAATGTTGATAAAATAAAATAACAAGTCAAGAACTTACTGCAATCTGACAGTAGGATAGTTGAAGAAACCTTCTTTCCTGATGACAACAGGCCTCCAATCAGAGCTGCTGCCAGAATCTACCGTTAACTTCTTAGCAACGTCATCACATGCATCAAGAACATTACATAGACTTGGAGATGAATCAACCACAAAACTCAATCGTGGCCGGCCAGCATTATCAGAAAACTTCGTGCTTATTCCAAACCGCACTTTCAAATCAGTACAATAAAGTTGGAATGGGAAACCTTCATGCAGCAATTCTATCCTTTGACTGCCTTGAAAAGATGGAACAAGAGATGCATCAATAGAAGGGACACATTTTCTATCAGGTTCAAAAACAAGAATAGAGCTGCTGCTAGGCTGAAACACAGAAGACGAGGAAGCCAAATCAGGTGACTCTTGCATGGGTTTTTCCACCGTGGAAACATCTGACTTAATGGGTTCTCTATTTATTTCTTCCTCCAGAGTACTCAAATTAAAAGGATCCGATTGAACTATATTAGGATCTGCATTATTAAGGGCATCCCCTTTTGGGCCGCTCATTGCTAAAGAAATTATAGGATGACTTTTGTCTTTGGATTCAACAGCAGGAGATGATAATACAGAAACCCCATTAATGTTTAATAAGCCCCCCTGTGATGGAGATTTCCCATTACTGCGGCTTCTTGTCGTAGTCTTTGGTGAAACCCAACTGTTTGCAGTGAATATATCCGGGAGACTTGACTCCTGTAAGGACAGAGAGTATCATTAGTTTTATGAGCATAGTTGTCAATCACTGCTGCAAAATACATCACATATAATACAAAAGATTATATAGAATAAGAAAAAAATATTTCCTAAAACGCCTTCTTGATTCAGAGGCATTGCTAGTATTAAGGTTCCTCAATCAAACATTTTCTAAGGATATATCCATTGCAAGAGTCATACTCAGGACTATACGTTTAAGACTTGTATCTCATAAGAACTTCCTATTGGAGTATGCTGTCATGGTATAAAATTTACGATCCTTTGTTTTAAATTAAACCCCGGATCATAAAATATAAAAACATTTAAACTTGCTCAAAATATAACAAAAATATTAATCAAAATGTGAGTCTTACTTGTATTGGAATAAAAGTTGCAAGTTCATAAGAGTGATGTAGCACAGTGAAGCCCGCAAAAAGTAAATTAAAAGCTCATGTAATGCCTCTTACAATGGAAATGACCGAGTAATCTACTGAAGCTACACGGTAAAACCTGATTCCACCCACATGTAGGGCACGTGTAGGATAATCTTGCCTATGTAAATTGTAGACTAATGATAGATTATATATACCCCCGTTTCCAAACAGAGACAGCATGAATATTTACTGAATGTGACTAAGTGATGTGTATGATTTTTTTTGCGGAGAACGTACAGTGATTCAACCTTAAAAAACACAAACAGGAGAATGTTCTATTGATGTCAAGTAGCAAGTTAGAGATAAATTATTCAAAGCCAGAAAATGCATCCAGGTTTTTACAGAATTATAATTTAAGAATTAGACAAGAAAAAACCAAGGCAAAGAATCATCACGGGTAAACTAAGGAAAAAAAATAACATGGTCAAAATGTGCAAACCCATGCTAGCCAAGTTCTATTAGCATCACCAACTCCAAAAAAATGTCACAAGACCAAAATGATAAAAAATGCTACTATATTATTCTAACAACGTGCTTTAAGCCAAGAGACTCAAGTAACCAAAAGTATTTTCTCGATGACATCAATCAGAGAGCTGATGAACTGAACTGATGTCAAGTTAAGAAATAATTCAGTTCTTCCTTCTTTATGTAGATATGAAAAACCTTAACCATAATAAAAGTTGTTGTTACATCAACAACTGAGCTGTGTTGCCAAACGAAAGAAAAAAAAGACTTTGAATTGCAAATTACCAAGAATAGAACGGTTGCACAGTATTTAAGGACTTCAAGATTCATCCGAACATCATCTAAGCTCCTGCACTCCAGAAACAGCAGATATCAGAAAAGATAAACTGAATACATTGTGAAGGTGGCATACGACAAAATTGCATTAGCATGTTACCTATGTGTCTGGCGTCCAAGTCCAAAATAAGTAGCAAGAGTAGCCATCTGCGTGTGACGTAAAAGGTAAAAACATTATTATGACATGGTAGAGCGCAAAGAAGCCAACTGAAATAGCAAATTTAAGTAGTAGAGCGCAAAGAAAGAAATGCATGGAAAGAACAATGACATGCTGTCATTATTATGATTTACAAATTATATAATACCTTCATGTCACCAGCTCTTCTTCCAAACTTCTGAGTCAACAAAACTAGAGAGTCAATGGTTCCCTTAGGTTCAGGTGGCGGCTGATTAATCTCAGCAAAAGCATCTCTAATCCGAACACAGTCAAACCTTATGATATTATGACCCGCCCAAATCCTCCCTACACAAAATTCACCACTCACAAATATCAAAACGTAACCATACACCTTTTTTTTCCTAAAAGGAAACTATTTTAGGAGAGAGGCGAACAAACAGAACATACCGTGAAGAAGGTCGTAGACGAGGTGAGCAATGTCGGCAAAAGTCGGCGCGGCGGCGACGGCGTCGGCGGTGATGCCATTGCAGCGCTGGGACAAGGGGGAGATGACGGAGAGAACGGGGGGTCGGATGAGGGTGGAGTAGTTGCGGAGCTCCGTGAGCGTCTTGGGGCAAACCAAAATGGCTCCGAATTCGAGAATGGCAAAACCCTGACCTGTTCGAGTGGGGACGCTGGTCTCCACATCGAAGAACACAATCTCTGATCGGTCTTCAGCGGTAGAACCCATTAACAGAATTCAACCGAACAGTGTTGTGTTGTAATTTGTAAGGAGAATTCAGAATTTTTGTTTGATTGAAGTGAAGATGAGGGTATATAGTGATTGGGCTGGCAAAGGCCCGTGATTTGAAGTTATTACTAACCCAACCATGAGGTTGAATGGCGGTGCAGTCTTGGAATATCTTTTCCTGCACAGTAAACCAAAACACCAAGGAATTAACAGTTAGTGGATATGCTTTGCTTCTTCCAATAATTTTCTGGAACCAATCATCTTTTCGCTCATATCACATTGCCTTGGAACATGATATGGACTTCTGGGAAGAATCGCATCCTAAAATTATGTAACAAACCATAATGTTTTATTTTTAACGAGTTGTTTTATTTTGGGCAAAATATGTTTTTTTTATTTTATTTTCCGCTAAATTGGAAATAATTTTTTTTAAAATTTTATTTAATTTAGTCTAATTTTAGAAATATAATTAAACCATTTTTGTTAATTTTATTTAACGTTTCAATCAGAGTACAAAAGTATTAAATTATGTATATACTCAAATATAATGTATTTACATTTTTATAGCATATATAATTCAAATTTTTCATATTTTTTTATGAGAAAAATTAATGTGTTGACAATTTAGTGAATTTGATTTTTATTCATAAAGAATAAGTGGTTTAATGTTTTATTTTTTTTTTATTTTTGTTTATATTTTTCATAATGGATATAATTTGATTATGTTTATTGAAGTATAATTTTTTATCATAAGTTTGGTACAGTCTTCATGTTTTGTATTATTTTATTTCATTCTATCTTTTATGTTAAATGATCGGTAGACTTAGAATTATCATGTTAAAATGTCTTATAATCAACAACATCGAGGTAGAAGTTTACATTGTTATAACTATAATGGATTTTATCTAAAGAGATATTTGCATCAACCTAAAGGACTTGTGAGGTGTTTCAACTACAAAGGAGATGGACATATTTTTAAAGATTATCCAAATAACAAGGGAGTGACCAGAGGTACAAGGCCACAACCTCAACAATCATTACAACAGAAGAGAAATAAAAGATATTTTCCATAGGCAGTTGGAAGAGTTTACACTATGTCATGAGAGGAAGACATCATATCAAATAACCTTGGTTTTAGTATGGATGCTACATTTGGAAAAGATCTAAGAGTTCTTTTTTATTTTGAGCGACACATTCTTTTGTGTCAAGTGTTTGTGTGGAGTTGAGTCTACTAGCTAAAGAGACACAGTTTGGTCTAGTGCTGACAACTCAGCCTCTAATTAGGTGTCAACCTCAAGAGTATGTGTTAGGTATCCAATGATTATAGAGGGACGCAAGTATAAGATAAATCTTATTTATTTGTCTTTATAATAATTACATGTAATTGTAGGAGTGGATTAGTTATCTACCAATTACATTCTAATTGATTTCAATCTAAAGAAGGTGGTGTTCCTTGAGCAATCATCAACAGTCCAATAGTTATGGAAGGAAATTAAGGAAGAAGCTTCATGTTTTTATGATATTAACGCATGTGAAAACAAAGGAGAAAGAGTTTAAAATAGATATATTAATGGTGAGGGAGTTCATAGATGTGTTTTCTTATGAGATACCAGGATTACCCGTTAAGAGATAAGTTGAGTTTTTTTATTGATCTGATGCTTGGGGCAGGGCTAATATCAATAACTTCTTATAGAATAACTCCAACAAAATTAGTTGAGCTAAAAAATCAGATAAAAGAATTATTGGAAAAATAGTTCATAAGGCTAAGGGTGTCATCATGGGGAGCGTCGATGTTGCTTGTAAAGAAGAAAGATAAAAGTTCTAGGTTATGTGTGGATTACAAGCAACTCAATAAGCTAATTGTTAATAATAAATACTCGCTTCCAATAATATATGATTTGTTAGACCAACTATATGGGATTATGGTTTTTTCTAAGATTGTTTCGGAGTATCGTCAAATATTAATAAAGGTAGAAGATGTGTATAAGACAACTTTCAAGTCTAAATAGGATTTCCAGACTCTTTTTTATATAAGTTTGTCATTGTCTTTATAAATGATATTCTTATTCAAAAACACAAGAGGAACATGAGGAGCATATAAGAACAATACTTGGAATATTGAGAGAAAAACGATTGTATGCTAAGTTATAAAAAATGTGAATTTTGGATAAAGAAATTGTAATTTTTTGGACATCTCGTATCAACTAAAGGCATCTCATTGGATCCTACCAAGATTGAGGCGATGCTTGAATGGGAATGTGTGAAGTTTTATGGGTTTGATAAGTTACTACCAAAGGTTTATAAATGGGTTATCTAAGATAGTTTATAAATACATGAGTGGAAGTGACACATCGTAACCATAGATTCAAATTTTCTTCTTAATGCTCAAAAGAATAAAATGTCTGGAAAATGGTTCTTCAATTATGATGAAGATTCCAACTTTTTGTCATTAAAGGATAATTTGTCTTTTAACTCTAGGGGTCTTTTATCTGGGTTCTTTGAATGTTAATGTTGACTCTAGTGGACAAGAAAATGTTTCTCTTGAGCTATAAGAGAAATTCAATCGTTTGCCTACCTTTAGCCCTTCATATTTTCATAAACAATTTTATGATGGATTCTGCAAGCAACATTTGTGGCCTCTATTCATTATATGTTGCCCTTGAATTTAGACTGTGGCAACCACTTTGACAAGTCATTGTGGCAATTTTATCTTTTTGCTAATAAAATATTTACGGATAAATTCATGAAGGTGATAAGTGCCTATTTTACTCATATTTCACATACATTTTGGCACTTATCTTGTTTGATTTCTTGCATAAATTTGATATTTCACTTCCCTTCACTTAGAATTTGCTAAAAGCATTTAGAAATAAACAAGTGTGATGATGCAATGCAATTTTTGTGTGAATTGATGCAGTTTAGAAGAAAACAGAGTCAAGCAGCTTGAGCCCCAAAAGTGTATAACCTAAGCATTGAAAGATGGTTACAATATATTTCATATTTTTCCTTCAGAGCTTGAGCTAAATAGATGGTGTCTAAGCCACGCAAGGACAACTTTACCATGAAGTAATTTAAAGCACCAACTTTTAGAGCTCAACCATAAAGAAAACCTACCATTGAAAGTAACCTTTTGGATTAAATATCATAAAGATTGTCTGAGCTATATGAGGAAACTCTCCATGGAAAGAAAACTCACAAGTTGACCACCATGTTTGGAGCTACAACCAAGACCAGAAATTTTATAAATTCATAGCACTCCATGCTTTCATTTCTCTTTAGGACTTTTCTTTTACTTTCACTTGTAATATTTTATAGACTAAAGAGATATGGGAAAAGACAGATGTTAAAATCAATGAGTTGTTGTTGAATTTTTTGTACTATTTTATTGTTTTATTCAATGTGTTCTTTTGATGTTAATAAGTTGCTTGTTTCATATGATGAATAAATCACTCATCTACTACGTCTAACTTGAATTAGGCAAAAGCTAGTTTAAGTTATAGATTTTTTTTTAATTGTATTTCTTATGGAAAGCTCCGGAATAAACAAACCGATTAGCGTATCTTTAATTTTTTTGAATTTGTTTATAAAACTAAATCTGCATGTTTTTAAGACAAACCAATAAGCCACGTAATTTTAGGAAAACGGTATCTTCATTAGCAAAGCCACTCCAAAAGCAAGAAAATAAGCACCAGCCTTCTGAAAAGATGCAAACAGATATAATTGTAGAGCTAGAAGGCACAAAGCAAGAAACTATGTCCTTCTTACAATTCAACATCCAAGAAAATATTTATCTTTGATTCATAGCCTTCCAAATTGGCTTGCTTTGAGACATCATACAGAATTTCATAGATAAAATATGAATGCTTATGAGTCATGTCACCCGCAACAAAATTGTGTACAGCTCCATTAATTTGGATCCAACTTCTGCCGGGAGGCTTTTTCACACCCATCTCGATCATCTTCTGTCTCACTGTAATGACATCCTGCCACCTTTGACCAAAGGCATATATGTTTGACAAAAGCACAAGATAGCCTGCAGCTTGATCAATGCTGAGCTCGGGTACTAACTTGTTTTCCACTTGTGATGCTAGATCTGAATTCTTGTGAATATGACAACCACCAAGAAGGGCACCCCAAAGGGCATCATTAGGCTTTAAGGGCATAGTTTCAATTAGTCCACGTGCTTCATCTAAGAATCCAGCACGGCTCAACAGATCAACCATGCATCCATAGTGTTCAATCCTCGGGTTGATTCCCCAAGTATGCTTCATGGATGCAAAAATTTGGCGCCCTTCATCCACAAACCCTGCATTGCTACAAGCACAAAGAACTCCGATGAAGGTTATTTCATCAGGACTTACTCCATTTACTCCCACACCGTCTCTAAGCATAGTTTTAAATGTATCAAGGGCTTCCTTCCCCAGTCCCTGTTTCGCAAAAGCCATGATCATTCTAGTCCAAGACACAGTGTTTTTCCAAGGCATCTTGACAAACACTTGATAAGCTTCATGAATGATTCCACAACTAGCATACATGTGTATGAGTGCATTGTTCAAGCGCACTGACGGTTGTTCGTTCCTGGCAACAAACCACTGTTGAACATACCAATGGATCCATCTTCCCAACTTCAGATCCCCTAATTCAGCACAAGCAGACAAAGCTGCCACCAATGCCACCTGATCCAATGGCACACGAGCCCTCCTCATCTCACCAAACAACAACAAAGCCTGTCTGCACTTCCCATTCCGAGCACACCCAGAAACCATGGTGGTCCAAGACACAACATTCCTACATGGCATCATATCAAAAACCCTCAAAGCCCCATCAAAATCGCCACACCTGACATACCCAGCAAGTATAGAATTCCAGCTAACAACACTTCTCTCCGCCATATCGTCAAACACATGGCGCGCTCGCTGGACGCCATCACGCCTCGCATAGAAATTGATCAAACTTGTGTCCACAAAGACATTGGAGCAATACCCTTTTAACAAAACCGTGGCATGCAGCTGTTCCCCTTCTTTTTCCAACCCACCTCGCGCACATGCACTCAGGAGAGACGAGTACGTGATCCCATCCGGCTGAGCCTCAGAAGACAGCATGTGGCTGTAACATTGGACCGATTTCCAAGGCATGTGGCCGCGGGCGTAACCTCTGATGACGTGGTTCCAAACGGTGGTTGTTGGGTTGTTCATTTTGGCCAAAAGGTGGTGGGCATGTCGGAGATGGCCAGAGGCAATGTA